GACTAATTCGACTTAATGAAAATACGAGCCAAAGAGATAAACATTTAACTCTGCACTCGAGTTTCACTATGTGATTAATGCCCGTTTCTACCAACGTAATTAACTTTAATTTAAGTTCAACTTACTCTTCATCTTTTTCAAGAAAAAGATGAAGAGTCAGTTTAATCAAGATTAAAATTAAACTACATTGGTAGAAATGGGATTAGTGGCAAGCGAATTACATATCAAAGTCCGTTTATATAAGTTGTCTTAAACCTTGAAATTTTAATTATTTAATTTTATGCTGTACTTTGAAATTTTAACGATGCGAATGAGTTTATTGGATTCTGTACGTTCTGTGCGCTGCGCGCGCTTTGCCGAAGTCTGATCAAAGCTTGACTTGTTCTACTGGATATAATTCGACGATGCTTTGGAGGAAAGCGTTTGTTTTATTTTTTCAAAATGGATTAGGCATTACTTTGAAATTCTTATTTGCCTCTATATTTATATATTTTCATATTTATTATTATATTATTTTACGTTTCTTACAACGTTGAAATATAATAATAATAAATTGGAGATTATGATATAAATTATGTACAGATACTCTTTCGAGAATACACTTACATCTAAATAAAGTAAAAAGTCAAGTAAAAAGTCACACATATTCCGAAGTACATTTTACTGTTAATTTTATTATCCACTTCTTTTTAAGACAAAGAGAGCTTCATGAAATTTCCATGTGTCTCCCTGGATTTCTCCTAACTTTGCTGAAACAATCGCAAATGCGGTTTCCCCAGTTCTTGTGTTCAGGACTTCGATTGTTTCTTCCGGCCGAATTGAATTTTAACTTCGTTCTTTATTTGTTCCCATTTTGTTGCTCGGTCACCGCGACCTTCTCGCGCGATTAACCGACCGCCTCCGGCGGCGAAGCCAATTTACGTGGCGGCGGTGATGTTTCTTCCATTCCCTCTCGCGTCTCTCTGTCTTAGAAATCCTCCTCCGATATTTAACTTTACGCTCTCTTGAGCCGAAGTGGCTAAATGCCGCGAAAAGTCTGCCCTCGCGGAGCGGAAACTTCTCGCGCGACCCCGCGGGAAAGAGAAGAAAGGTTGCGTCCTGGAAGAGTTGTGAGAAAGGGGTGCAGGTGTTTAGGCGCGTATTCTCGGTGCTGCGCTCTAAAAACTTTGTAATCCAGCCGATACCATTAGTCGGCGTTCTTGCGAAAATTCTTAATGACCCTTGAACAAGAATGTGTCGCGCAGAAAAAAAGGATTGAACTTAGGAGTTTTCTTTGTAGAGTTTTTCCTCATTATTAGGGATCTCGAGTTAACATACAATAATTTTAATGAATTGCAATATAAGCTCTAGGGCTGGGCAGTTTAATTACAGCGTAATTATTTTGCGGGTTTTTGTATTTAGTATTAGGATTAATATTTTATATATTAATATTATTCGACAAATAATATATCGATAACAATAATCGAACTGTATAATGAAAGTGCATCAGATTAACATATTTATAGAAATCTATTTTGTTATTAATTTCACGTTTCGTTCTATAAAAAAAGTTAGAATGCATGATAGGTGGTTCTAAGAATTCTTTTCTAAATCCGATTACGAGACCAGCGGATGGAAAAACTCTATCATCGTGAAACAATGGCGATTCGAACGAGCCGTTTCTTCGCAGTAATTTCTGCTCTGCGTCTTTTCTTCGCGATGCGTTAGAAAAATGCATCGCATTTTTTCTCCAGCTATCACTCCGCGCTGATCTTGAGAGCGCGTCGAAACTTGAATGTAAAACCGATCGTAACGTTTGCGGATACGCGCGGAGCATAAAGGGAGAGACGGCGGGCTTTTAACATTTATGTCCCGGTTAAATGGTCTGGGAACTCCGTCGAGATACACGATATAAACTGCTATTGCTAGGGCCCAACGTCTGCCACCTGGGGACGCTCTAAATTTCATCTTGTTAAGGCCCATGCTAGTATGAAATAACGACCGCAACATCATCGGCGACGAATGAAGAGTGATTTCGCAAAATGCGGCAGATTTAATTATCCTTCTTTCATTCCTTTTTTTCTTTTAAAGCCACCGATCAAATTAGTTTTCTTAATAAAAAGTTACTTTAAAAATGACAGCTGATGAAATTACTCTAGATAAAGTTATACTCCGAAATCACATATGGAGAGGTT